ACAGCATGTGTTATACCTGTCTGCGGCAGTATATATATGTGTTACAAATGTCTGTTGTAGCAATTTCATATTTTATACCTGTGTGTGATAGTAAATACAAGTTTAATATCTGTCCATAATACTGAATACATGTGTTTAATCTGTCTGTGGTATTCTATACATCTTTATGTTTAATACATGTATATACAATTGCTGAACATGACAATTTGGATACACTTATGTTATCAGGATTTGCCCCATAGACAGGCCCTAACCCTGCCTCCTGTTTATTATAAAAGATAATTGAAATGTCTTAACATAGGAATGTATACAGATTATAAATAGTAGTATACAGGGCACATAAAGAGTGGTATATAGAAAATATATAGAGTGGAATACAGAGTAAAGAGAGTGGTACACAGTATGTATATAAAGAGAGTGGTATACAGAGTATATAAGGATTAGTATGCACAGTATCTACGAAGTGGTGTACAGAGTATATTGAGAGTGGTATACAGGGTATAAGGAGTGGTATACAGTGTATAAAGAGAGAGTGATATACAGAGGTTTGTAAAGAGTGGTATACATAGGTAGTATAGAGAGTGGTATACAGAGTATATTGAGAGTGGTTTACAGAGTAAATAGTGAGTTATATACAGAGTATATGAGGAGTGGTATACAGATTATATATATAGTGAGTGATATACGGAATATATCAGGAGTGGTAATATAGTGATATATAGTATGCAGAGTATATAAAGAGTGGTATGCAGAGTACACAGGCATCACATAATACAGAGTTTAAAGTGATATGCAGAGTACACAGAAACATCATATAATGCAGAGTATATAGAAAGTCATATACATAGTATTCAGAGAGCAGTAAACATAGTGATATAGAGGTGTTAAACAGAGCATATAGAGAGTTGTGTACAGAGTTTATAACGAATGAAATATATCTGTACTTCATATATTCTGTATATTAAAGTACCTTTATATACTGTGTATACATAACTCTATCTTTACATTTTCTGTACACTATATTATGTATTTCTTTAATAAGCTATGTATGAAGTATCTATCATGACTATTTTCAGTTATATATCATTTAATTGCTGAAACTTGTTGATAATATACTGCATATAAACTAACACTATTTGATTTACCTCATAAAGAGTCATCACTTATTGGGTATGAGTATCCTCTATATACAACAAAAGATGTTTGTTTCCTGTTATATGTTTGAAAAAAATATGGATAGGTATAGATAGGTAATAAATTCAGTTTTTCATTTATTTTTATTTAGCCTATAAATAGAAAGGAGAGTGATCTTGACTCGAAGAGTTCTTCTTTGAAAATTGGCAAAAAAGTTTTGGGTAGGCACAAAACAATATATTGTTGGCCTTTTATATAATGAAAGGATGTGGTCACCTCAGGGTTGAGGGGCGGGGCCAATAAGGGGAAATTGGCAAATTTTAACTTGTAAAAGACTACTTTCTAGAAGGACCTGTCACCATATAAATTGTAGAGAAGGTTTAAACTTGATGTATGGATGGTGTAAACCTGATGTATGGGAGGTGTATACCTTAGTATGGGAGGTGTATTCCAGATGTATAGGTGGTGTATACCTGATGTATGGGAGGTGTTTACCTGATGTATATACCTGATGTCTAGGTATACCTGATGTATGGGAGGTGTATATACCTGATGTATAGGAGGTGTATTCCTGATGTATGGGAGGAGAATACCTGGTACCTGATATATGGGAGTGACCCAAAGGTGTATACCTGATGCATAGGTGATACCTGAGCTTATAGGAGCTGTTGCCAGATGTAAAGGTTGTGTATACCTAATGTATGGGAGTTTTTTATTGGTAGTAGAGAAGGTCATGCATACTTGAATGATAGAAGATGTATACCTGATTTATAGAAGGTGTATGAGGTGTATATCTGATATATAAGGTGGGTTTTTTTTATCAATTGTCACCCATTTACCCTAGGGAGGGGGTAAATTTTGCTATAGTTTATGGAAATGAGACTTTTCAGTATTGGGGAGGGACAAAATTCCCTGCTATACATATGTAATATTTGTTTTTGTCATATCACAACAACAAATAACAATTGTATTACAACTCAGATGACCTGTTAAACCCATGGGCCCTTGTTTTAACGTGCTGTATTAGTTGGATGTGTTGATATTGGCTTCCAATAATAATTCCCCTATAGCTACTTACCTATAATTAGATGTGGGTTACAGGGACATGTCACATGCTTATTAAGTGTGCAGCAAAATAAATATATACTGTGATGCTCATTTATTATATATAATATCTTCCATTGTATATATTTGCAACCCGTCAATATCTTTCTCAACTCCCTGGGGAGCATACAGCCGGTGCTGCCATTTCGGCACTCACCGAGTGAGTGAGCTAGCATTATACATATCTAGCACTGCCCAACCACATACTCATTTACAGCTGAGTAGACTGGAACAAGCGGAGTAAAGCATCTTGCTCGTGTATTAGTAAACTGAATATTTCTCTTGGAATCTTGCAATATACTTTACCACCAGGTCTAAATTAACATATATAGGAGTCTTTGAAAAATGGGACACAATCTAAATCAAGTACTTGGGGTGGGTGAGGGGCAGGTTAACTAATTTGATTGGTTTGGAGGAACACTGAACAGTTGTACATATCGTTTACCTGTTAACTCACAAAATACATGAGCACAAACTTTAAACCATGAATTTATAACACAGGATAATCAGAAGAAATCAATAAAATTTGCTTACAACAAGCAAGACAAGTAATGTGAATGATAAATGTTGAATCAACTAACTCAGCTTTCTGACATCAACTATCTGTATCTTTACCTCAAAATTGCTGTAAAAATCTTAACCAGAAACTTGGAATAAACGGCATACCTCAGGTAGACACATGTCAAAGAAACCAATACTTCCTCTTTAATAATATAAAACAAATAACAACCCCCACCCCCACACCAAATCAAACCAAACTAGAATTCTTCGACGAGGCTGTGTACGAAAAATAACATAAATCAAGATGAATTTTAAAATCTCACTTTATATTTGAGTATGTGGTGACTGATTATGACAATAATTCTGCACTCTTACCGAGTTTGGCATCATTACAGCTGCACTACTGGACCCTCACCATATAAATCCTCAGCAAACTACTTTCATTTGTCTCATTCTGGTTGAAAATAACGTGCAACAGATTAACAAATGACAGTGATTCTCACCAATAAGAACTATTTCTGACCCTTTTTCTTTTTGGCCAACAAAACCAATGGTCATTTGAATAATCAAACCCAGCAACTTCACAGACATTTTCTAAGTTCCCAATGGCTCTTCGGAACACTCGAGTTTCGTTCGGAAAAGTTTATAACTCGGGATTATTCCAGCCATTTTAGTATATAGTAATATGTGCTTCCTAATACCAATCTTTTAAAATATATGCGTTAAATTAATAATTGATATTTAAATATATCAACTAAACTTATTGATAATATTTTATATTGGTGTTAATTACAGTTGCGGCAGAAAAATACGAAACAGTTTGTGCGCAAAGCTAGTTTTACACAGCTGCCGTTTGCCGGACTCTTTGAATATTAAATAGGTGTGGGTTATCATTTTCGAAACAACATATGCTGAAACATACGATGGCCGATAGCAGCCGACACAAAACAACAACAATATAAGACATTTATGTACATGTACACTTTTTAAAAACTGTACATGTACACAATACAACTACAAGTGCTATTAGCATTCCAACAGTACTGGACGGTAACAAATCAGAGGTATACCAACTATCATATACTTTTTATGTGATTTTTGGAGACAAAACAAAAACATGTAGTTTCTTAATTTGTATATAGAATTATAATTTTAAATCAATAACCCAAAATACGTCATTTAAAGTGTTCCATGTGACATATTCACAAGTTTGAAGGCTATTGCCTTTGGTATAAAACACTAGTTATTTCTCTCAGAACAATCTACATACAACTTTTGTTACAGTAAGTATTATACTATATTTGACTTGAGTACTAATCTATTCACACTGAACAATGCAACGTTCTACTTTATGACTCCAATCCATACATTAGGTAAAGCCCACATAGATATGCGTATAACGATGGTTTATGTCTGTTACATTTCTTTCAAATTGAAAATAGGACATAAGACCAATCAACATACAAAGAAAAGATTAAGAAATTAAATACTTGATAAATACTAATTCCAAACCTTTCTAGTTTATTCATTTTCAGGTAATGAGATTAAGTCGCCTTCAAGCATCAACAAGTGAAATATGTTGTACAGTCTACGTAGCAACACTGTGTGGTGACCTCTATCGCCTCTTCGCTGATTTGTACACAAATGTCTGATATTGTAGTTGTTTTGTGTCGGCTGCTATCGGCCTTCGTAGAAACATATGCTGTATCATGGCAACGATGCTATTTCGTATTCTCTCTGACTTGAAAGAAGGACGTTTGGAGCGGAAGGTAAGCTGATACCTATTTCTGTTCGCCGCATTGACAGAGTCTTAATACATTCGGTAGCTCAGTGTCTGAAAATATTACCTGTACGCTCACTGTCGTATTATATCAGGTATGTTGGTCAACGCTTATATGGAAAAAAAAATCATGATATTATGAATATTGTAGGGAGAATTATATACAGGTAAAAAGAATCAATAGGTCAATCGGAGTTATTGTCATATAAGTTTATATAACTATACATTGTATATATATAAATGATGTTTAAGGCATTTACGTACATACATGTATCGATAATTGACGAAATTGATCTAATGTCCTTTGATAGAAGATACAAAAAATCGTGTGTCCGTCTTTTTAGGTAAAATATCTATTTAAAAAGTTTTTTTAACTGTATGGTTTTTTTTAATACAGACACGTCTAGCTTGTCAGGCGAAATTGAAAGTAATATACTCTAGATACATTTGTTTCATAAATTGAGTTTAAAAATAATAATCAATTAATCGAAAAATACAAGTTCCGCAGATTCGTACACGTAGCAGTTTTTCTGTTGGATATTATATCTGAAATACAACACCCGTCCCCCGAATCTTAAACATCTCTTATAACATTAAACATTTAACATTAAAAATAATCCAAACATGTTATTCCAACTGATTTCTTAAAAGTAAAATGATTTAATAAATCAGTACTCAGTATAGAAAAAATAAAAATAAAGTATTCTCTGGGGCATTTTTAATCTAGGGATTATCAAACAAACCATTTAACAGTCTCGGCTACTGTTTACAATGATCAAACTCTTTGTTCAAGAAACATTTAGGTCTTTTTACTAGGTTAACAAATGGACAATGCGCCATACCTCTTTGGATTGTCTCGGAAACAAATGTATATTACTAGTACGTACAGTATTAGTGTTCCGGACCGTATGTCTAAAAGACTTTGTTCTGAAAACTTCCCACGAGTCAATGTCAATGTAAATGGGTATATTTACCTTTAAAAACTTTCTGATATCGGTGGTTGTGATGTAGATCTGTAGGCGGTCACAGCAACGGCGTTGCAAAATGACGTTTTTCTTAGTAACGGGGTTGTTGTGACGTCATTTCAACGTTACTTGTACGATTACAGAAAATCATGCGGTATGGCGTGTATGACGGTATTTTATGACATGTATTTGTTGGCATGTATTGATGTATTTGGCTAAAAAATGGCGTTAGAATCAAATCTTGCAAATATCTATGACACGAAATGGCTACGGGGGCCCAGGTAGTTAACAAGTTCATCACATATCTGATCCATTTTACTTTGTCATAAATATGGTGTTACACACATGTAATAAAACCGTTCGAACAATTTCTGCACGTCTACAAAATTGAGAATTTTATAAATTGCATTTTATATATACATTGTAATTATTTTGCTATGAAACAAATTTAAAATGTGTATTTTGTCATTATTATTGTCATTGCATTTAAAAGTTCATTTAAAAAAACGGCAACTACATTGCACTGCGCTGAACGACAATACTAAGTCAATTATCATTTGTACGGACGTAATCTTGTGTTGCCTCTTGTACCCGATCATTGTCTCCTTCAAGTTCCACAGTATATAAGTGTATTCACCTCTATATTACATCATCAGCACAACAACTATCTTATCTCTGATACGAAAACCCACCGAGAAATACTCTGTTAAACGCTTTAAACTATTCAATGTTGTAATACACTTCGTGTATCTGTATCGCCTCACTGACCACAAGTCTCGAGGATTCTGCACATCATTAGAATTGAAGGCGCGGGGCTCGCTCATTAACTAGTCTCGGGAAAAGGTTAAAAGAAAAAAATGATCAATCGCTAGACTGATACCTGTCCTATGAAGAAGACAGAAGGGCGACACCCGACTTCAAAATCAGTCAATTTTACCATTATGTGGCCGCAAGATTATTTTGATGTACATCAAAGGATCAAACTCATCTTCACCTCTAATGTGGCGCACATTGAGCCTTCGATTTTGCTTTGACATATTCCAGGGGTGCAGAGGGCGGACCATTTTATTCGGGTGCTGGATTTCTATTTTCGTTGCTCGACAAAAGAAAGAATAAATGTTTTAAAGTCATCAACATTTATTAATTGAAACTATTCGAAAAGCACATATACTTTGCAAGAAACCTCTGACCATTATCTTCGACGTCATATTGACGAGTTTGGCATTCAACCAAGGATTTACACATATATATATTTTTTTAAGCAATGTGACAAAAAAGTATTCCTAACTGATGGTGCTTTCTTGGTTACAGTATATAATATTGAAATATACCAAAGACGCATTATCGGTGTAGAAATAGTATATCACATACACCGGAGTATAATTGACCATATCAATATTAAACATTTGTTGGAGACCCTGTGGCTCTCGAAGGCTAAAAGCTGAGGACTGTGATGACTGTGATGACTTCAGGATCGTCAATACGGAAGCCGGCCTTACCATCCATGAAGAAGTGGATGTACGGATTCTTCAAGCACAAGTAAATGCCGGGGGTAATTTCTTGCCACCGGAAGTGAGGAGTGGGATCTTTCTTTCTTTCTTTCGCTGTTATATACATCTTTGTAAGCTTTTTAGCTTTATGAGATGTCTTGATGGTATTTCATTATTGGGATCGTCGTGGTCCAGGCAGAAGGCGACCATCCTCTCCTTATTTATCTTATCCTGGAATATATATATAACCTAGGGATAAATATATAGCGTATTTATAACGTTTATAAAACATACAAAACAGTTTCCAACATTCACAACGCCGCACTCAATTGAAACAACGCATTAAGTTAACATAAACAACAGTATAGTCAACAAATACAGCACAATATTCATCAAATAAAGAAAATCGATGTTCACAATCATAGATGATACTTACACTTTACTTGGCTGATGTGTCGGGTTCGATTGTGTTTCAATCTAGAAGCCTATTCCGTCTTTGCGTATTGCAGAGTTATCTTCTCTTGGGAGCAGGTATTGATTGTTACGTCACTTGTTTGTGAGAGTAACGTCATCAATTTTTGAGAAAACGACGTAATTTTCTCGCACAAACCAATGACGTAACAATCAATACCTGCTCCCAAGAGAAGATAACTCTGCAATACGCAAAGACGGAATACAAATTTACATATAAGACTACGAGATCTAAAAAAAATCTGACGTGTTTATGCATGCATGACCTACATGTACATAAAAGTAACCTTAGATAAGATGTGTTTTCGAAAATTCTGACAAGATAATCCTAATCAAACCAAGATACACTGTACGGAAAGTGGTCATAAATGTTATCTATCGGTTCTTTATTTAAAAATTAACCAATGGAGAGGCAATCATTATAATCAATATATTAATTTCACATTTAATAATAGTCTTACATAAAGCGCCGAATATAATTGAATCACAGTGGTTTTTACTTTGCTTATCTGCTTGCTAGAGCGGAGGGGAATAGCGATCCGATAGTTAGTCGGACACGTGGAGATATCACTGCGCCTGTGTTATGGTCTCATTACACGGAACTGGCTTTGGCAGATTTATATAGTGGCAATGCAGAGTAAATGTAAATATATAATGATACGGGTATGTGCCTTTCAGAATAGTTGCATAATTTAGCATAGAACCGAAGAGATACTAACATCTTCCTAACTGTTTCTACTACTGTAACAGCTGGTGGACATAACGAATTTATAACAAAATGTTATAAGATTAAAGTGTTGACGATGACGCAACAGGGTACGGTGCTTTGGTTAATTAGTTTACAATAAAATCGTTTATCAGAAATGCTAAATATCCGAAACCTTGGTTGTATCCATTTCGAGTAATTTGTTAAAGATAAAAGTTAAAGTAAGTTGAAATTAAAAGTTAAAATTGAAGTTATTTTTCGAAACAGAAGCCTATATAACTCCTCTACACTGGACTCAATGAGTAAGCAATAAGATAATACAATCTTTCAAAACAAAATGTTTACTTTTAACAGAGATATTGTGTACGAATGTGTCAGTTTTCAAGTCATTCCCTAATAGCTAGAAAACTAGAAAAGTGTTTCAAAAATAATCATTAAATAGAAGACAAACGAAACTTCAATCAAAGCAGGTTGGGTTTGAATATTGAAAGTCAGCCAATGATATTTCAAAGCATTCCATTTCAATTTTGAAGACTTCAAAATACAATTTACAAATTGTTTTTAAATTGTAAACGCGCGAACGGTAGACGGGTCATCTACCCTGATGCCTACGGAGCCGTCGAGGAACTGGTGGATGTACGGATCAGCTATACACAGGTACCGTCCGGGAACGACGTCACTCCACTGGAAATAAGGTCGGGGCTCGTCACGCTCAAAGTAAAACCCCACATATACTTCATCTCCATCTTTGTCCTGTAAGACACACAAATATATCTAAAACGTCGCTGATAGAACATCAAAGGTTATGGTAACAAAATTGCAGTAAACCAGAATTAACAGAACCCGATGTCCACGGCACGCTTTCTCCAATGTGGAACAGTTACTATCTAAATTGACAGGAATGATAAGTTGGTTTTAAAAGTTTAAGACATGTAGTTTAAACAACGTTAACAATAAAGTTGAATGCATGGTAATATAATAACTCCTATATAAAACTATGTTTATTTCAAGTGTGTATAATATGAATATCAGTATGTTTATATGAGGCTGTGTACAAATACTGAAATGATCGGACACATGCTTGAGCTATTTTATTCACCTATGGACGAAGATCCTATCGTCATCATGTCATAGGTTATCTCAGAGCTAAATATTAAACTTTTGTTTAACAAATTTTACCTGTAAAAATATACAATGTCGCGACACATATGAGTGATATCGTGAAATAAACCCAACAGCTACTCTAGAGGTACTACGTGGTCTCTTTCCAAACAGCTCGTGTGGGATCTCCCGGACGAAGTCCAAAATGGTGCAGCCCGGAAAAACCTTCCAAGTAAGACTCTTAACTTTATCAAAGGCGCCAGCATTAAAATAAGAACGTTGAGAAAGGTCTGGTAATTTTGGGAAATGACGACAGCGATTAAAAGCACCACTGCCTGTCGACCTTGCTGATTCTGAGGCGAACGTTTCCTCTCGTCGATAACCATCCGTAGTTATGGTCTCGTAAACATCTTCCTCCGGATCTTTACATTGTAGTTTGTGAATTTTCCAATCCTGACGCTGGCACTTCTTGGAACAATAATTCACCTTTTTTGCACCGAGCACATATTTTAATCGAATCGCTTGCTTTGCCACACACATGACAACTACTGTAAGGAGCACGAACCGTTCCTTTCCTATCCGCACAAAAATGGCGATGCAATCCCTTTTGTCTCAAATATTCAATTTCAAATGGAATCCCATGCAGAGGTTCCGATGGATACAAAGTTCCACCGGTTGCGCTTCCAATATCAGGAATATTAAAGATACCTTTTGAATTTTCGAATTGTTTAGTTTGTTCACGTTTTTGAATTTCTTTACAGTTGGCCTTATGCTGACGTTTCCAGTCTTCCCTCTGACACACGGTGGAACAGTAATACACCTGCTGACATGCCGAACACAGCCGCAGACTCAAAGTTTTCTTATCACAAAATCCACATTTGTTTTTCATTTCATCAAACCTGTAATACAAAATATAATGCGAACTTTAAAGAAGTAATTCGTATAAAATACCTAAATGGTGAGTCTTCTTAATTATTAGTATCACAGGCTTTACCCCTGATGCTATACTCACGGTAGTGATCATGAGATGGCAATCTTAATTAACTTCCGGCCGCTCACTACTCTCGTTATAAAACTTCACAGTTGAATAAAAGCTGTGTTTGTTTTGAATACAAACAGTAATTGAAATTTATTTTGCGAGATTTCGAAAACGCTTGTTGCAAAGAGTGCAAACCACCAACCGTCGTTAAGGATAAACGGGAATATAAGGAAAACATTACCACCATTCTAAGTGACAACAAAATATACGCGGTGCTGACAAAAAGTCCCACACCAACAGATAACAGTAGCAAATATCACGAAGGTGAAGGACAAATACACTATCAGCGAAGAAGAATATAAAAAGGTTCTCCTTACATATGAAACAATCAACGCACATACTGTACACCCAAGATCTATAAGCCAGGCTTATTGCGGATAACACTGGTTCCATATTGGGTACAGTGTATCAAGATGGCTTACAGGGTTTACATGTGGGAAAAAGAGAACTACGCGTGAAAGATATAATTGTTGAATAGGATGACACTCGTATGACGTTGTTTCTCCTTACCAATACATTGTGTGGACGAGGCGGTTAATGTCATAAGGGATAGGTTAAATGGAGAGAGAACCCTTAGCAAGCCTTATTGTTGATATCATCGAGTTGTTGAAAATAAACCCAACACTACTTATTTCTCATTCAGGGAGACAATTTACCAGCAAAAGGTTGAAGCAGCGATATTGGGAATCCAGTCTGCGCGGAAGTAATCAGTGACGTTGGTAGCTTTCAATTTAAGGGTCAGAATATTTCCAATTGAAAGTTAGAAAGTTTTCATTTTACATATTGGGAAACGTATTGGGTACAGTGTATCCAACTCGTCATCAGAGGCTTTTACAACAGTCAAGAAAATTTGTCAAGAATGCATAACTGTGGAATATAACCATTATGAATACCAACACCTATTTCTATGTGATTTCAAACAATCCTGGTTCATGGAATGCAGAATTAATATGTTATCTTCATGACTGTCTGATTACTCATATGGTTATGACATAACTCATTATGTCATAGTTTCGTTTAGGCGGGGCACATTCAAAGGGAGATAACTATCACACATACGCGTGTACAAAACGTCGGCGGACTGATGTTCCCGGACACTGTGCTAAGTAGTCATGTAAATGTTGTGTGCCGACATCACTATCTTGTGTCGTGAAGGCGGTCAAATTAAGTATCAGACAGTTCATAGATCATAACTAAAGCAGATGGCGGCCTCCCAGCCTAACTGACATGGCGGCGTTTTCAGTACACCAGAACCTATTATATACAAACCTTTGTTTCGTTATCAAGGTTTCCACCTGACTAACACTGCATGCATTCACCTGCAACCTTTCCTCTCGAATATCTGCTTTCGAATTCTCCGAATTTGATAGTCATTCTACTTTCGTTTTTCAAAACATCATATCAATAATTCTCCGAATCCTACTTTCATTTTCGCTTAGCACATGATCCCGTTATTTGTAATTCTAGATATCACATACACAATCTCAAACTTCATTCGTCACTCACACTGAAGTAGAGCGTAGTTTGTATTCTTTTTCTTACTTGATAAAACCCAGACGTTTGGAGCGGAAGGTAAGCTGAGCACCGCTTCGTTGACACAGCCTAAACAATTGTACTTGTATTCGGTAGCTCAGAGTCTGAAATATGTACCCTCACTATCGTATCAGGTATGTTGTTCAAAATTTATATAAAAATGTTCATGATATTATAAATATTGTAGAGAAATTACAAACAAGCAAAAATATCATGTTCATCCATTAAACATAAAGAATCAATAGGTCAGTTGGATTTATTGTCATATAGGTTTATATAACTATATTTATATATATATAAATGGTGTTTGAGGTATTTTGAGTATACATCGATAACGGACGATATTGATTCAACGTGTGTCCGTCATGTTATGTAAAAATTCTACTTTTTCAATGTATGATTTTTTTAATATAGAAACGTCTAGCTTGTCAGCAAAATTGAAAGTAATATACTATAGACAAATTTGTTTGATAAATTGAGTTTAAACCCTGATAAAAGGGCCAATAATATCCAATGTTCCATAGCTTTCGTACACGGACAGATTGTAGCAGGTTTTTCTTTTATATATTTACATTTGCATGGCACTTTTACTCTATAGCCTCTTTGAAAGCTGTGTCGTTGATGGGACTTTAATTCCCATGCAGCACGAGACACAATTCTTAGCGTATTAATACAACACTGACCGGAACTACAATATCCAATGTGAATAAACATGACGGCTGCTGAAATATCGCTGGGCATTGAGACTTAACAATGTCACATATCTTGTAAATTTTTGTGCAAAATAAAAAATGAAATAAAGAATATTTTTTTACAACAAAAACAAGATCAAGGTCTGCAATATCGTACAAAATGCACATCGGTTGAAACCACCAATGCCGGCAATGGAAACAATTTTAACGCTCATGCAATTTATCAGAAATATCGTCTGTTACACTGCACAGATCAACAGGGGTCCGTTACAAATGTCTGAAATACACATATTCTATAGACCTACTGACACATATGTTACAGACCTACTGATATGAGTCACAGTACATAAACATTTCAGACATTCGTATCGAACCCCTGTGCTCTGTCGCAAGATCACTCACTTCAAACGCTATCAGTTTCACGCGTCTCGCAGCCACGGTTTCCTCAGTTGTTGACGACATGTCAAATAACGAGGCTGTTGTAGAATCTACCGACTGTAGTCAGATTGCCATACAATCAACAAATAAATTCACGTCTGGATTCTCCACAAAATGAGCAAAGAGAAAAGTTCGAATTAACTTCCAAAAATAACTACCTCGTGGAGGGCAAGGTCGGATTTACGGTGTTCACTCTATTTATCCATACGCTTGAATACATCACAATCCACTAGAACAACAAGCATCTCCTCCGTGTCATCATTTCGACTCAAACGATAATAGCATTACAAGACTTGTAACATTTCAAAACAAACGTCGTTACACACGTCTACAGCGTTACTCCAATAGGCTGCTTTCACTGATACTAAGACAGGGCAGGGCAGTCACCTTAGACATGATCTTGTCCAAACAAATGCTGATTTGTTGATTTAGAGTTTGGAATAACATTTTTCTTAATTGCAAGCAATATGATACATCGTTGTTGATTCAGAAGCATTCAGTTAGTAGGCGTATTGAAATCACTTTAAAACGTCCGATTTCAAAATTGATAGTTTCTTACATTATTTTGAGAGCTAAAGGGCCCCTGTTATCATTGTTGCTGCGACTTTTAAAAGTATAATTGACATGTCAAGCGCCCGTTTGAAAGAAGCTTTCCTTGTTTAAACAGACCATTCACAACTTACAGTGTTAGCATTGCTTTCAATGATGATAAAGGCAATGATATGCAGAGGTGAAAACTTTGAAGTGAACTAGATGTGAGCGATCTTCAGAAAAAGACATTTAACTTTTCCCCCCACAAAAAAAAGTATTAAGACATATTGGAGATATGTGAGCAAATCAAAACGGAGAGACTGGTTAAATTGCAAACATGTATACGGACAGAGAGCCTACATAGGAAATATGTGACAGATCTCTCAAGTGAATCTTGAAAACTAGCGACAACAAACTTCATTTTCCATTTCCCGGCCGGACTCGAAATGAAGCTTGTTCATATGAAATGAAGCTTACAAATCTTCAGGTTTAGAGTATTCTTCATATGAAATTAGAGCAATGTCTGTCAAGTACTTCTTGAAAAATAGCAACAACAGATTTGAACTGTAAACATCCAAGATTGTTGCCCGGTTGCCTTCCCATTTTAAAATACCATGAAATTCAATATGCACAACTAAGGACAAAATGAATAAGAGAGTTAAAAAGAATGATAACAATATAAGTTAATTGTTAAAGACGGATGGACAATCATCACGGAAACAGATGATGGCTGGCTAAAAATTTATATTTTCGTTGCTGGACAAAAGAAAAAAGAAAACGTTTTAAAGTCATCAACATCCAATAACTGAATTTATTCGAAAAACACAAATCATGAACAGAACTATGAGAACTCGTGTGTACTTGTACTACACAAGAACCTTCGGACCATTTATCTTGACGTCATATTGACGAGTTTGGTACTCAACCAAGGACTATTGGATGATGGATTCTTGGTTACAGTATATAATATTGAAATATACCAAACACACGAGTCGTTGCACATACACCGGAGTATAATTGACCATATCAATATTAAACATTTGTTGGAGACCTTGTGGCTCTCGAAGGCTAAAAGCTGAGGACTGTGATGACTTCAGGCTCGTCAATACGGAAGCCGGCCTGACCATCCATGAAGAAGTGGATGTACGGATTCTTCACGCACAAGTAATTTCCGGGGATAATTTCTTGCCACCGGAAGTGAGGAGTGGGATCGTCGTGGTCCAGGTAGAAGGCGACCATCATCTCCTTATTTGTCTTATCCTGGAATATATATATAACGTATATAAAACATACAAAATCTGAATTATATATATATATCGTATGTAAAACATACAAAACCATGGGATATATATACCGTTTATACAACATACACAACCTTGGATATATATAACGTATACAAAACATTCAAAACCTGGAATGTATATAACGTATATAAAACACGCAAAACACGGTTTCTCACATACACAACGCCGCACTCAATTTACGCAACGCATTGAGTTAACATAAACAACGGTATATTCAACACATACAGCACAATATTCGTCAAATAGAGAATACACATACACAATTTTCAGCATACACAGCACATTCAAGACATACAGCACTATATTCAACACGTGCATCGCTTTATTCGACGATAACAAATTTAACAAATTTAGATCACCAT